GCCATGAATGATAAATGAACAAAAGTTGAATACAAGCTGGAAACAGGGTGCGTTCGGCGTGGGCGGGATATATGTCTATTTTCAACGATACAAGGAGCGTCTAACAAGGAGTGAATCGGTCTGTTAGGCAATAAAATTCGATCAAAAACCGATCACGGGGAACCGAGGTTTAATGGTCGAGAGTTATTTGATTCGAGACTATGACGATGCTATAATCTCGATTGGAAAAAGATTTGCGTGGGCAGTGTCGGGCAATTATCCAAGAATATATATCGGATAGAGAAGGGTGAGAAATGGGAAAAGGGAGCGAGAAAAGTCGAGTACTCGGGAAGAGAAGAATCGGCCGACTCGACGGTCGCGAGTCGACTGATCTGTTCGGTCCGTTTGGTGGAATGTTCGGGGGCAGAGTGCGCGAGCGGAATGCTTATTGCCGATCGGCCGAGCCAAACCGAGCCATTTGCGCATGCGTCGGCTTCGTATAACTCGCTGATTTCGCCTCAAGCTTATTTATTTCGAACCTGAGACTCGCCGCGCAACCACGTGCTACGATCGCAGCTGCTACGGCTCAAGTCAGTCGGACTGTCTACTCCGTTGCGAGTAATACACAAACGCTTCGACATTCGTTTCTCGATAATTTATCTCGAACGCAAGTAATCCGTTGGTTCAAAAAAAAAAAAAAAAAAGGAATTGAATAGGAGAAGAGAAGATAGACGAGCGAGGGAAAGGAAAATAGAAAGCGCGATCGTGGAGCAATAAAGAAGGAAAATTAGAGAGGAGGAAAATTTACCGCGGTCGACGAGCGCGGTTCGAGAAGCGATCTCGAATTATTTTTTTTTACAGAATAACTACGCTTCGTCGAAATCGTTCGTGCATCGAACTTCTTTTTCTAGAAGCTACTGTACGATAACCGTGGGACGCTCGAGAGCGGAACTTATCGATTTTTCCTTTAGGGACAGTTTAAGGGGACTCTGTTTCAGTGCGGTGTGCGACGATCATTTCGGCTTTGCTTTAGAGGAAGAGGAAGAAGAAATTTCGCTGAAACGAAGGAACTCGTTTTTTTTTATCCTACGAGTCTTACGAGTCGAACAAACTTTGTCACTGTGATACAATTCGTCAGGATCAGATTTTACAGCTCTGTGATCTGTGCTTTGTGATAACGATATTTATTCTTTTACGAAGACTTAAATTTATTCACAGCCCCGATCCAGTAATCCATTGTTACGAGAGTCATCGTATTCTTAATCGAGGACGAATAGGTCGCGAGTAGGTAAGTATTATTATCATTCTTTTATTATTTTTTTTTTGTTTTTCTTTTAAAAAAAAAAAAAAAAACAGTCCATCGATAGCATTCGCAGCTGCTTTCCAACACTTTCGTTATATTCGTTCTATGCTTTTTTGCGCTTCCCCACTCGATATTCGCGTGTCAAGCCGTTATCTCAGCTGTTCGAGAAATTGTTGTGTGACAGCGGTTTGCAATCGAAACTTCGTTTCTTTTTAATCGCTTGCTAATTTAGAATGTTTACGTCTGAAGGAACGCGTTTGAAGGAACGTATCATCATTGTCGAGATCGAGAATTCGAGTTATCATATATCCTTTTAACATAGGTTTTTCGAGGAATACTTTTGATGAATTGCCGTGACTCATCAACAACTTCACAAAGAAACACGACGAGTCCGAAATACCGATGGCGATTAGCCACGAATTGTTTCGAAATTTTTCCCACTGTTTCACCGGAAAAAATTTTGAAAATTTTCCTGTGAAAAATAAATATTATATTCCAATCAATTCTAAAAATTCGTTTCCGCGAAATGAGTCATCGCACCGCACAGTTGTAGCGCCGTCTTTCAACAGGGCTCATTCACTGTGGAGAAAGAGAGAGAAAGAATGGTAGAACTGCGTAGGAATAACAGAAAGAGAGGCTGATTGTCTGAAAAAAGTAGCATGACCGCGAAACGGCTTGAACTCGGCTATCGTGTAAACGGATCGCGTGGTCGTCCAACTTTCCGACAATAGCAGCGTGTGTGCAAAACCAGGGGCAACGACTATTATTCCGGACCCGTAACTCGGCGGAGAACCTAGAAACGTGGTCGAGAAAAACGGACTTCGTGCCGGAAGCTGTTTCCAACCGAGTTCCGCGCGATAACTACGCGAATATAAGAGGCGAGGCGAGTGTGTTAATCTCGTATAAGGCGAGAATATAATCGCGAATATGAAATAAATAAATAACTGGAGACGCGAGACAGCATTTTAAGTTTTGGAAAAAAAAAAAAAAAAGAAAAACTCGATACACGATGATTACGCGATAGCGAGTTTATCAAGAAATAAGAACCGGGGAACTTCTAACTTGGACGATCATTATCTGATAAATGATAATACGCGTACATTGTTTGCCCCGTTTCGATTGAAGAGTTTCGTAATTGTTGTTTTCTTCGTTAACTCGAAGTTTCGTGGATCCTTTATCTATACCTTATATTTATCGAAATACCGTGTAACGTTGATGAAATTTCGATTGTCTATCGATTTGAATGATCTATTGTATTAATAGTAATACTTTATTCAAATATTTATTGAAACAACGTCAATGGAATCTCGTTCTTTGAAGTTGAAATGTTTACTAGCTATCGATTCGAGCGATCCATTGCAATTATACCGGCAAGAGATTATATTTACAAGTAGGGAAAGAAAAAGTTGTCGATCCAATTTCTCGTTTCTCGTTCTGATCTTTGAAATCGCGATACGATGAATGAAATAATGGAAAATAATGTAGTATTCGAGGAGTTGACAGATAAAAGAAAATTGGCGCGAAATATAAAAACTTGGTTGCAGCCATTTATAAGCGATCTATATTAGTTAACGAGCCAATATAGATTGTCAGAATTAATAATTGTTGATCGATCGATCTATCGATCGCGTTTCCTCCGCCGAAAGAAGGAGGAAGGATGAAGCGAGAAGATGCACGGCTTCGAGGTCGATGCATCGACCGAAATAATTCTTCGCGGGAAAGAATTCGCGAGAGACGGGGAGAGATCCACTTTGGCCTATCCCTGGAACTAGAAAACGCTCGCAAGGACGGCGTTTTAATGCAATTAGAGATCAAGTTTTACCGAGTTCAGGTCATCCATTTACCACCGGTTGCTCTCCTTAGCTACTCTCCTCGTCTCTTCTCTACGCCTCAATTTATGAAAATCAGTCAGTGAAGTTAGAACGCAGAAAAGTTCGCGTCTCTATTCTCCTATATTCTTTTCTTATTAATCATTTACACATAAACCGATGGTAATTTTCCACTTAAAAATAGAAACGAGGAAAAAAAAGACGAGAAAGGAAAAAGAATCGCCGTCGTCGTTCGACTACGATTCTTTACGTGATTTACAACACCTTCAAAATCAATAATGATTTTGAGATAGCTCTTTGAGATAGCGAATCTCGATCATCGCTTTCTCGAAACGGATCGGATGCCTTCCCCTCCTTCCATCTCTTCTCTTCCGACATTTCCACGGTTAAACAACTTTGCTCGAGCAAAGCGTGATCCGTAGAATTAACAATAAAGCAACGAATGCGCAGTTCTAATTGACGCCACCGCGCTTCGATTCTCCTCTTTTTAAACAGCTTCCTCGGCTGGAGACCCAGCCACCGATGACGCCGACCGATATATTTCCTAAGAAAATATCGATCTGCCTACACATACACACACATACGTGCGCCCACATCGGGAATTAGGCGACGTGAAAAGGAAAGATAAAGCTACATTCTGGGAGGGAGAGGGGGAAGTGTTATTTGTTTCTCGAGATTAAACGGCTCTCGCGCGTGATTACAACAACAAACGGCGATAACAACAAGTTTGATGTTTCAGACTTGAAGAGAAAAGAGATGAGGTGAAAGAGTGGGGAAGGCACGCGACGAAGAGAAGGTGGGAAATTTGGACGAGTTCCATTGTTCGAAATACGCGGCTGACTGCTCGATCTCTTCGTTTTGTTCGCGTGAATAAATTCGGGCGGGAAAGCAAAAGCAAGAATCCGAGAAAGAAGCTTGGATCCATAAGCGCACCGCGGGGAGGAAAGCGAGAAAGAAGTTTCTCGAAGCTTGGTTACCGCTGCGACTGGTATCGTTGGTGCTGACTCTCCTGGAACGCGAAGAGGTAGGGATCTCTCTCGGTAAAAACCCGATAGGTACACGGCGTTCCTCCAGCTGGAGCGTATATACACCGTGTTCGCATAGGTCACGGTTCCAGTGATGGAATTATAAGCGCATTTCGGATGGGGGTGTTCCGTTTTTATATTATTACGAGAGATTCGTCGAAGCCAAAGTTCGCGATTTATGGATTCAAATCGACGAGAATGAGTCATTAAAAACAAAAAAGGAAAACGTTTTTTAGTTAATTTTCCTCGTTCCAAGGATTTCGCATTCCCGTCTCGCGGAATTCGTTGATCGGTCTTTAGATTACTCGGGCCTTGGTTTTGAACTTGAGTCGATCCTTCGTCGAGCAAAAAGGAAGTAAGGCTGAAAAAAGTTTTTACGTAATTCTCGAGTTTTTACGTAACTCTCAACAAACAAATATATCCGTTTCTCGTCTTCGAGTTGAAGTTTTTTCGCCTCGATTCGAACACAATTGTACGAATATTTTACAAAACGATTCCTTTTTCTTGCGAATTAGATTAAAAATCGAATCGGCGGAACGTGGTGAAGAGGAAAAACGCTCCTACCTAAAAGGAAGAGAGAAGTCTCTCGAAGGTTTGCTTCGTTCGCCGCTTCGTTGCTCTCACTCTGCTCTGGATCCGCTCGAAAAGGAGAAGCACGACAGAGTGGTTTGCAACGAAAGAAGCCGATTCGGGTGCGTCATCTTTGAGAAAGAGAGACGGACACTCGTTACACTCGTAACCTGGAACAGATTTAGAAGGCGTACGAGACGCGCATCGAGTAAAACTCTAAAGGGAAAGAGGAGGAAGATCGAGTGGAGAATTTAGAAAGGAGGGGTGAGAAAGGAGAGAGAAAGAGAGAGACAAGAGGATCGAAAGAGAGGGGGTGACCAGGTGGCGGGGAAAGAAAGAAGAAGAAGAAGAGAAAAAAGGGCGAGCTATTGTCGAACCGAGGAATAAAAACAAGGTGTTCAACAACGGAGGTAGGAAACGTAAAGGACGGGACGATAATAGAGAGGAAGAGAAGACACGAGTATATACCATTGGTCACGAAGATGACTAAGAGCAAACCGTTGACCGCGCCTGAACGAAGAACGAACGACGTGTTTGACGAGGAATCGATCGCGGTTCGATCGAGATGGAGAAATTTCGCCGCCTTCTGGATACTCGGCCTGTGTAACAACTACGGATACGTGGTGATGCTTAGCGCGGCGCACGATATCCTCGAGAGCAAGTTTGGAACGACGGTGAGTATAACGTATATCCTCTTTCATTCATTGCGTCGACGAATCAGCTTCGCTTTTCGGAGAGGGGAAGGGGTTGCCTGAAGGGGAAAAGAGAAAGAGAACTCTACTCTTTTTCTTTTTTCCCCCTCCCCATCGTACCCTTTTCTTCGTACCGTATCCAAGAAACGGTAAAAAAAAAAAAAAAAACGGAA